AAAAAATTACGCATTTGACGGGGTTTCTTTCACGAAAAAATAGAAACGCTTTTGTATAAACTTTCGTAATTGCAGAGACAAAAGCAGATCTGAAGCTTCAACGGACATTTCATATTAATAATTTTAATCAAAGAAAAATACAGCAAATGTTTTACATGAGGTTATGGTCGAGATCGCTACATGTGGTTGTGGAGAGATTACATGATATTACTTGTGGTAGAGGTCGCTAAGGCAGTAGTTCTGTGGTAGTCTCGGACCAGAAGATCGGGGGTTAGAGTACCACCTCGGGGATGGGTGTATGTGTGTATGTGTGTATGTGTGTATGTGTGTATGTGTGTATGTGTGTGTGTGTATGTGTGTATGTGTGTATGTGTGTATGTGTGTATGTGTGTATGTGTGTATGTGTGTGTGTGTGTGTGTGTGTGTGTGTGTGTGTGTGTGTGTGTGTGTGTGTGTGTGTGTGTGTATGCATGCGTGCATGTTTGTCCTCTCACATCTCACTATTACCATTTCATCTTCCATAACGATCATTAAAATTCCATAACAATCTGGGTTAACAACCCTGGAGGATACAAATCGGATCCAGCTAAATGCTAATCGCCTAAAAAAATTCCGTGCACCTGCCACAGAGAAGCTGAGCCCCGGTAAATGCAGAGTGCATGAACATGTGATCAAAGTCGGCCTAAAAGTGAGTGAGTTTAGTGAGCAAAAAGAAAAATACAATTTAGGGATATTTAAAAGCATTACGTAAAGCTTCTTGGTGCCAATGCAGAGACAATTACCGTAAAAACAATATGCTTGATCATGAATACTAATGCTCTCTAGATACTTACTTAGAAAGCAATAAATGAAGACTGATTTCTGAACGTAAGTTTTCTGAAAGACAAATTATGCACTACTGACGCCGGATACTTCGTCAGATGTGGCGTTTGCCTTCTAAATTCTTAAATAAACTACGTAGGTCATTCAGGAGATCTTAACTTTGGGTGTTAAACTTAAGTTCACAATTTTTTGTTATATTTTCCAAAAACATTTATGAACGTAAGTATCTTGTAATGTTTTCTAGACAGAGGTGTACCAATTACAAAAATTTATCCATCTTCTAAGAATCTAGTTTTTTTCACCATGATTCAGGAAGTTAGCAAGACCCTCAGTTCTTTAGGAGAATCTTGACGTTCAGTAAACCGGCGAAGTTAACCTTTGCATAATCATTGATAAATCTCCAAACCGAACTACCGAGAAGATTCAGAACATTTATCTCTGCTAATGAGGTCTAGTTTTAAAATTAATAACCGTTATTTAATTCAAAACTATAACTATTTTACTATATTTATGTACCATTAGCTTAATGTTTGCTTTGAGACGTTGGCATTGTCAACTAGGAAAAGTTACAGCTTCTGAAAATTTGTATAGTAAAACTTCATGGAAGAACGACAATTACAACAATTTTTAGGAGAAAATCAAACATTCCCCAAAGCAATAATACGTATTATCTTCAATAAAAGCTAAAAGAAAAATAAAACATCAATTAAAGAGAACACTAGGAAACCGAAACGCATGAAACCAGAATTATCAGGATCAAATATATAAAATAAGCCGTAAATAGAAAGCAATTGATTGCAAAAATGTATAAGAATTTATATATTTCCTTCATTCTAAAATAAAGGAATTGGAAGAAAGTCTCATAATGTTGAATCTCCATAAAGACAGAAGTGCGGTAACATTTCACAGATCTTCTCTCGGTGCGATCCGGTAACTTATTTCTTTTTGTAAAATGTTCTCATGCAAACGTACCAAAGCAAGAATATTGCCGGGAATTTTCAAAATTTTTACTCTCAAACAAGTTAAAAGATAAATCAAGAAGTCACTTCATTATCTACTCATTTTTATTAAATGTTGTATTTTACCGTCATTAACATCTGTTATTTAAAACTTGCTTTATATTGTCGACGCTTTAATGAAAAGTTAGTGAAAAATTCCATAAAGACGAAAAAAGTGCGGTGCGGTTATAAAATCTATTATCTTTAGTAACAAACACACATATAATAACCGTAATAATATTTTTTGGTAACCTTAGGTAAATATAGGCGGTGTAAAATATTCTTCTACCAGGTTTCAAGTATCCTACAACGCAAAATGTCTCGGTATCTCTCATAGAATTGGGGATACATTGCTGATGGACTTAAACAAATTCTAAAAGAAATTTTAATGAAATTAACGTTCTTTTTCAGAAACACTTTTTTTAAAACCGGATTCACCTCGGAAGATCATCGCTTGTGAAATGCCAGGCTTGTTATACATCATATTAAATCTTAAATGTTAATATTTTCTTTCAGGAAGATTAACTTTCTCGGTTTACTTTCAGGAAACGGACTAATGTTCATTCAGACAGATGGTGTGACCAAAATTAACATACTGAATGTCAGCACATAGGGAATGCATGAAAATGGAGGCGTCAAAAGCGCTTGTATGGAATGTGGGAAAATTGAATTAACGTATATAGCATATCGTATGGTTTTTAGTGGCGGTAATAGTGGTAGTGGTATGCTGTAGTCAGAGGGGTAATGTAATGTCAAAGTATTATGTAAAGCATGTAAAAGTCGCACCAAAATAAACCTAGATGTATATAAAAATATTTGATTTGTTGTAAAACTCAGAGAAAATGTAAATTGCAAAATATACGAAAAAATACTTCCTTACTATTGTGGCGTCGTTAACACGAGGGCCAGAACCGTTAGGTCGGTGAAAGTACGCTGCGGGGGAGGAAGGGGTTGAGCCTGAACTTCCGGGAGTTTGCGCTTTGGCGGTTGACTCAGCTAGAGCCGCAGAGCCAAAAATAACCATAGGCTGTAAACTCCGAGGATGCTAGCCAGCGAGCCTCGCTTACGGAAGCAGGCGAGCCAACCTGAGAATCCTGTGTGTGGGCGTAAACCAAGCTGCTGGCCAGCGAGCCTCGCGGCCGCCAGCCGGCGATTCTATCTATGGAACAGTGGTGGGGGTGTCAACCTCAAGTATTTAACGCGGCGCCATCTGCGCCCGCGTTCTCATTCAGTTTGCATCGGGAAGCTTGTACGTGTGTGTACAAGGGGTGTAGGAGTGTGGGCGAGATGTCCGGAGAGTAAGGGCCAGACGATCTCGCGTGCTGTAGGCACACTGTCGCCACGACCGGGTTAAATTTTGGCGTCAGGCCATGTGACGGTAATTGTCACTGGACGGAGGTCCGACAGCTCGCATCTCGCGTAGCTTGTATTTTTCTGCGGTAAAGCAGGGTATTGAAAGAAAAAGGTTGCCGGAGTGTTTTAATATTAGCAATTTATTGTAACTTGTACATAATCTTTTAATATATTATTTTTATTTTGTTATTTGAATTCATTTCTTATTTCACTACGTCACACTATGAATCTTCAGAACGAGGCTTCTGAATGCGATGATAAAATGGATTGTTAAACTATTCTAATATCCAAATGTATATTTGCTGTTTCATGAAAGGTGTGTGCAATGTGGTAAAAAAAGCACTTGGGTTCCTGGCCCAAATAAGAGGTTAGAGTGAACTACTGCACAAACTCCGCAGTGCATCAGCAGAGAAGAGAATGGTTTTCGTCGGTGGCAATAGCGTCCTCGTCCGGAGTTTCAAATCCGGCCTCCCTGCATCGAATGACGAAGACTGCCCTGACACCTCCTTTCACGCAACAAGTGGAGAGAAAGTGGAGCTGGCCAGCGGAAGTGTTCCTACTCCAAGAGTTGACACGGAAGTTCCACGTTCCTTTAAACCTCACCTTGAAGAAACGCGGAAGGGTCACCTCGGCGTAATGGTCAGTACTCTGAAACTAGTCATAAGTCGAAAACTCAAACTGTTAAAAAGTTAAAAATTAAATTAGAAATCTCACAGAAATAAGAATTTCTATAGTATCTGGCGGTTTCATGAAAGAGAATAGCTTGCCACGTAATGGTTTCATGTACTTGTACATCATTCAATAATTTTGGGTACTATAATTTTTTCAATCGGTCAACGGCGACAGTAAAGACACTCCGTTACCACAAAGTAATGTTTGAAGTGGTTTGGTGGTATTTTGAATATTGACACTTTTTCGCCATTTTTAATAATAAAAATTAGCAGTAAATTCTGATATTAACTTGTATTCGAAGTTAAAGAAACTTGTAAAGAGATTAGGTTTTAGTATCGGATTAGTTTGACGGCTTGATTACTTATTAAAGGGCCAGTATAGATGAAAAATGTGGGAGGTGGTCATGATAATGAATTAAGAAACGCCCGTTCCTCTCCAGTTTGGAGACAGTGATGTCATTCGAGGTTTCCTTGTGATTGGGAACTTGACTAACATAATAGCAGAATGCCTTTAAACTGCAAAATGCGTCGAAATCGCCAGCGACTCATAAAATAATTTATTGTTCACATCGATGTACTCTTTAAAGTACGGATATAAAAAATATATTCGAACTCTTGAACATAGTTGTTTTCTTACACATTTAAAAGCAATGGGAATAACACGATGTTTAACGGAATTTGTCAAATCTTTGCAGTTAAAATCATGAACTCGTTCTCAATTTTTTTGAAAAAAAAAACAACTAAGTGATAAAGTATTTTTCGAATTTGATTCCCTTGTTTAAGAATAATTAAATGTTTCAGAACCGCAGACTGCTGTACCCTACTACATTCTACCATCCAGAACTGAGTTACTGAAGGCAGGGGTCCTAAAAGACGTCAATAGCAGACCAAAGACGAGCTAGTGCTCGGCATAATGTGGATGCGTCAATCCTCATTTCCATGCGCTACCTACAGCATTTCATGAACGCGTGGGATAGATTGACGTGAAGGCTGTGTTGCGGCGTTTCAGGCCAGAAGAGAACTGAAATAGTGCTGAAGGGACTGAAGGTATGAGGCTCGTAAACATGAGATAGTAGACTTGTATCTGATTCAGTCTGACTGAAGACGCTCGCTTGTAAAATAACGATCTTTGATCTCTACTTTTTTTTTGTTTCAGGAAGTTCGCAGCAGCAGCTTAGAATCATGCTGTGAAAATGTGCTAAGGAAATAAATATATTAAATATATTAGTATAATTAGTATTGAGCAGATATTTCAACATTGTATAAAAGTGGTTGCAGATTTCAAGATTTCAAACTAGTTTTGTATATTTTAATACGAACGTTTTGAGGAACTGAATATCGTATGTTGAAAATATTTTAAGACTTTTACGAATACTCTTTACGTTGGAAACTAATAAACCTAATGTAACAGGAAACGTAGAAGCATTAAGAAGTCTGCAACTACTCGTAAACTTATTTCATACCTGGTGCACCAGTTTTGATTTTTATTAGAGCATTTTAAAATGCCAAAATTGTAACTTTTGAAAATTATCATTTTTATTTAATTTTATGAGATTTGTAATACTGTCAGCTTTAATTGTTAAATATTTCGTAATAACATTGTTAAAGTCATTTATAATTGTAAGTTGAAATGTTCTAAAAGACCTCGGATAAGATAATCTGGAGTCTCAGACCATGTGTAAATATTTCTAATTTCTGGAAAATTCCAAAATGCGCAAACTTCCTAAGTATAACAATATTATCATCCCCTCCCCAAATCAAATTAGGTAAATAAAATTTAGTGTCTTCTGAATCTGGAAAACAATTTACCTCTTCAATTTGAAAACTTCGTTAAAATTACATTGTGGACATTCATTTGCTATTAACATTCCTACACGTGAATATCCATGTTAAATCTAGTTCCCGAAAAGAGCTTTTCACCAAATGTAGTAACGAAGTATTGGATTTTAATGTCAAGGTAACAAATGTTATGTTAGTAAACGGGAAAGGAATCATTTACAGTATTTCCTGACCAAGCGACGTGCAGGACTGAAGAGAGATCGGCGAATCTGAGAACTTACAACGGCGACAGTTGCGTCGCGTTTTAGCGCCGGGGCGTTATAGGCCGGTGCATTAATATTCTCGTTTCACAGTAATCAGTTGCATAATGGTACGTAATGCTCAATGAACCCAATGATATTTTTTTTCATCAGATAATTTTCCATAGATATCTTACTTTAATCAAATAGCTTATGAACGCTTAATAATTTGAACACTTTAAAGATATCTTTTCCATTACGTTCAATTTTATGGGAATCTGGAAGTTAAGTGAAATGTTTTTTTTTGTTTAAATCGAATACTGTAAAACGTAAAATTTGAGTAGCATGACTAGAATATGTGGATACGTTTTGAGCCCCCACCCCCAAAAAAAGAATTCCATTCTCCATATTAATATAAATATAATTCTCGAACACGTTGGAATCTCCCCGTGACTTTTTTTTAAGATGATCCGTTACGGATATTGTTGAACATAAGACGGCATTTCAAGAGGGCCATGTATTTCTGTCTTCGGACCTTCGTCTAGATCAGTGCTTCAATTTTCAATTGCACTGAGTATACCGATAACTCCTTTCCGAAGCAAAACAAAGCGCAGTACTGCCCTTGTCGCCAGTCCTACACTTAGCTGGGTCCGGTCATACCGCGCAGTTTTAACATTTTATCCACGCAATCTTTTAAGTATAAAATGTATACAGATGCATGACATATCAGTCTGGCATTTGAGATGTATAATAAAAAATGACAAAATCGCACACTCAAAAAAAAATCTACGTTGACTCCTCTTAAACAATTCCTTACAGTTGAAAAGGAGTTCGATTTATAAGCGTGTTAACGCTGTTTTTCACCTGTATCAGGCCGGCGAGAGCATATGATGCATTTCTGATTTCACGACTCGGATTGCAGTGCAAAAGGACCCATTGATTCATTTGGCGGCAATTTCATGGTAGAATGTCAAAAATGTCATCAAAGAGATGCTAGTTAAATCTATAATCTGGTTTGAAACACGTCCCAATCGCTTGAGTTGTTCGGCTTCAAAGGTAGCAAATACATGTTAAATGTAGAACCTTAGTACTGAAATTAATTTCGGACAGCGAGTCAATGCATTTGCAAATTTTAACAGCATGTGATATTTTCACAAATTTTGCTTTGCTTTCTCTGCAGAAGAGAATGTAAGGAATGGGAGATGACGCCCTTTGTGCTCCAGTAGCTAAATGTAGTATTGAACGTGGTGTACACGAAAGTGCAGCTTGGTGGTGCTTTTGCGGATGCGAGAAGTCACGATAGAACCCCTCTACAATAGTAACCATAGTTGATATAGATCAAAGTGAAGCCGGTGAACGCCACGAATTATGCCTTATCATGTGCATTTTTTGGCATAAAATTGATACTTGGGGGTTCTCTGCATTCGACATGTAGGTTCCTGAAATGATTTGAAAAGAGTTCAGTAAAACAGGAATGTCAATACTCTCCCATACCATTTTGATGTGAAACTTTTCAATTTGGTCACTTGGTAAAACCATATGTAACATGTAGCGTGATACTAACATCACTTGTATTTTTGTAACAGCTCTAATCCATGAAATTTATTTTAATCCACATAATCCACCAGTATTTTTTTTAATCTAACAATGGGATTGCATATATTTAGTATTGCGAGAGAAATTCGGTTAAAAATGTCGTTAAATTGTTTTTTGTTTAGTTAACTAATTATGCTCATTAATTCCATGAAAAATCGTTGATTATCACTGTTTATGGAATGCGTGCAATTAATACTTAACCGTGCAATTGAAAGTCCACAACAGCCAATCAGAACAGGGATAACTGATCAAAAAGAATCGTTTAATTATGTATTTATAATACATAATTGTATGTAACGTTTATACGTACACATACGTAACCATGTATATACGTTTACAGACGGCCATGCGTCATAAACAATAATGTTCCTCACATATTCAAATCAAAAATATATTCAATTCACATAAAAAATATATAATCAATGAACGTATGAAACAAAATTATAAACGAATAATTATTACTACTCCTTCTACAATCACGTTGATATTTGTAGTACAATAAGTTAAATTAAAAACTATTACCCTATTCATACTTGGCATCAATCATCCTAACCCAAAGTTGCTTTATATCGCACAGATATGTTTACTTCACCTATTTGAACGTGACGGCCCAGAGAGAGCACTTGTTTTGTCAAGACTCCTTAGGTTGTTTGGAAAATCAAGTAAATTGTTTATAATTTAAAATATCGATTTTCTCCTTTACACTGCATGTCTTAAACATAAACAAGTATGACCATTGGTTCGACACTAGCTGACGAATGAAACAACATGAAATATTTAACACGAACAACTGTGTTATATGTAAAATATTTGGTCTTAGCATATTATAATATAAAAAATGTAAACCCCAAAACATGTATTTCCGTTGAAATCTCGAAATTGATTTTCCGTATATACGTACGTATACGGGAAAGTAAAAATTATTTTTTAAATAATTGGCAAATGTTTTTATGAATTTAATATATGTTCAGTACGACTTTGTGCTCTGGCTCCGCAATTCCTAAATTCGGCTGTGATGCATCAAAAGCTAGGGAAGCGGTTATGGAGAGTATGGAATATACCTCAGCTTCTGGGTCAATGACCCCCGCCTCGACCAGGATTTCCGACCAGTCTCCCTGATCCAATGAGCGAATGCTGAGATGGTCTTTTTTTGTTTCTGGACATGAATGTAGGTTCACTCTCTGCAAAGTTTCTTGAAATCTTTCGGAAATGTAGATATTTGAACTATCGTTTTCCACTTAATCACGTCGATTTCTTGACGTAAAACACCAGGGATAATATTCTAAATCTGTAGCTGATTTGCCTTTGCGAATACTTCTTATTACACGGGAACGAATATTTTCATACCAATTCTTGGCAAAAACGCTCGTAGCTGCATTAATTCATAATTCAACTTTATATGTATATACATAAGGACAGACATCCTAGAGTTCAAGAAACCACGCACATATTGCACTTCTCTCCACAGTGCGTCACATAGTGTTTAACTGATTATGACATTCAATAAATAAGTAAATTAACACGGGGACAAGAACGACGAAGAAAACCCGTCGAATATGAATGCCTAGGATGAGTGAAGGGGTCGGGAAATGGAAGCCAAACACGGGAAATGTTCTTGAGAATTGAGGAGTATTCATCATATATCATATACGAGGTATGAAATTTATTTGGTTTACTAAAATCTGCACTAATATAAAACGATGTTCCCACTCGCGTATGTGTGTATGAGTAAAACAAATTAATCTACCTTTGAGTAAAAGTTCTACCGGAATGTATTTAGTTGTTCTCGATATAATCCTGGACAAACAGACCGATCAGAATATAAAATCAATTGTATTTATTTTTAAATCATGAATGTAGGAACGTGCTTAAAAGTTATTTACTGAAATAATGGACAGACACTCCAATTTTATTAATTTAAAAGATGGTAAATGAATTACATAAAACGTAAATAATGTAATTTAAATATTTAAAAACTAAGAATATGTCACATGTGATTTGTCTTGTTTCCCTTCCTTTTATTTCTTGAATCTCACAACCGCTGCGAGTAAGGAATGTAAATTTCGAGGAAGGTAATGGAAGGAAAGAGATTGACTTATTGATTGAATGATTCATTGATTGATTCATGTTTTCCAGTACGTCAAAGGCTATTCGTCCCGTTGGTGTAGTGAATGTTTTATCCCGAGACGTGGCAGTAGTTCTCCCAGTCTGGCGGCGAGATCCAGCGCCGACCTAATCGTCGGTTTGTCATTCCCTCTCCAGATATTTCCCCCAGTGGGGCACCGCCGCAATCGGTCAAGTTATCAGCTCTTTAGTGGTCAGGAGACAGGTGCGGTAATGCGGTGCATGTAAGTGTAAGTGTGTGTTCCGAACAGGAGAGGAGAGTACAAGGAAGAGGAAGAAGAAAGAGCGCGCGGTACGTGGCCTTCACTGGGTACTTACTGCTCCAGTATTTGCTTGTTAGCGATCGAAAAAAAAAACAGTGTAAATTACCGATCAGAACAGTTGCTAGATTGATAGATTTCTCTTCCAGACAGCAGCAGAATTCGACCTAGCTACCTAGCTAGTGTGTGAAATCCGCTACCGTCAGGTCTTAAAAACCCTAGGACCGC